GAACCAACTCAATGGTACTTCACAACACAACAACAATATCTCATGGAAGACCCCCCAACGAGATGGATTGGCCAAGTGGCAGCATCGATGGACTCAAGCATGGCAACAGTAGTGAGGTTGGCCCAGGATCTGGCAGTGTTTTGTTCTGCTATGCATAAGGTCACTGTGAGTCAGTACCGACTCAATGGCACCTAACAACAACTACAACAACATACTTCAAGGTCAGCAGTTCAAAACTACCAGTGGTTCCACGGGACAAAAATGGGGCATTTCGCTCCCGTAAAGATTTATTGCCTCGGAAACCTTGTGCAGGGTCACTATGAGTCGGAACCGTCTCCACAGTACTTAACATAAACAACTTTTCTATGTAACCTGTGTCCCAAACGCCTAATAATTCTCCTGCTTTTATACATTTATACATTTATATCAAAGTGTTTGTAATCCTTTGTTAAATCTTGTCTTCCTCATCAGAGGATAAACTCCAGGAAGCAGGGTGCATGTGTTTCTTTCTTATTCAACATTTGGTCCCCAGTAACTCCATGCTTAAGGAGCTTTGGTAGCGTAGTGGTTACAAATCGGCCTGTGAGCCGCAAGGGCGGCAGTTTGAAACTACCAGCTGTTCCGCAGGAGAAAGATAAGGCTTTCTGCTCCCGTAAAGATTGACAACCTCAGAAACCCTGTGCAGGGTCGCTATGAGTCGGAACCGACTCCATGGCACATAACAACAACAACTCCATGCTTGGTAAATATTTGTTGAATGAACGACTAGGAAGTTAATGAATACTCCATATGTAAAATGTTAAAAGTAGGAAACGATTACTTGTCAACAGAATTAAAGCAGAGACTCATGTAAAGTGGAAGTTAAACTTAATGCTGCTTATATTTCTGAGATTCACCAATTTTTGTTTTATTTCAGAAATAGATTTTTATCATTTATCCAATAAAAATTATTTCTATTTATTAAAATTGTACATTGAATATATGAAAGGATTGTTATTTACCTTTGCCATAATATCTGCATAAGCCATATATAAAAAATCTTCTTCTAGTTTGCTATGGAAAACAGGAGGAAAATAACAACATCAATTTTTAATCAGAAGGCTAGTCATATCAAAAGTCCCATCATTGTTCAGAATAATCTTTGCTTATTTTCCACAAGTATGTTTTCTAAAATTCAATTAATACAAAACTCCAGTAGCATCATTCACATAAAAAAAAAAATCCTTGAATCAGAATAAAGAGACCTGAGTGTTCAGAAAGACTATCCCACCTTACCTTACAGAAGAGAACTTCAAGACTCACAAAATAAATGGTCTAATGATTTCCACACACATGTAACAACTTTAAGTTTTTCAAACTACAAATGCAAGATGAGCAAATTTAATCAAGGTAGAGAGTTTGACAGCAGAAGCGACACTTGACAATTGATGGAAAGATTTCTTAAATTATCATATTATTAAATAGTTCACATTTGAGATGGGTATATGACGGTTCCTAAAAAGTTAGTACAGAATATGTTCATTACCCTGTTCAAAGAAGGGTGGAAACCATTAATACGTTAAGAATGGTTTAAACCAATACAGTCCTAAATTTTGCAAAGTTCTTTTAAACTTCAGGCATCAGAAAAATTCACTTAAGAGAAATACCTCGTTACCTGACGGTGCCAGACAGGGAGCTGCTCTATGCTTAGGGATGAGATGATTTTGTTAGTTAGGAAATAACAAGAGAGAAAGAATAGTGAGAGAGGATGGATCACATTTGCTAAGAGGTAGAAATGGACATTATTATGGCATGCAAGTGGTCAAATGAACTCTTAAAGATAGCTGAGGAGACCCATGTGGGTTGTTGTTAAGTGCTGTCAAGTCAGTTCCGACCCATGGCGACCCTTTATAGGGTTTCCAAGGAGCAGCTGGTGAGCTTGAACCACCGGCCTTGCAGTTCAAACCAATTTTGCCGTCCAGTTCATTAACCCACAGCACCACACCAGGACTTCCATGCGAGCAGAGACTGGCTATTAAGTTATGTTCAAGGCTTTGCAAAGAAGAGGCAAAGCCTGGAATAAAGGAGGCTCTCTTCCATGCAATGTGGAGGCAGATAAATGTGTCCTAACTCCTGAAAGGCTTCATCTCCACAACTAATCTGTGCAGTGCCTCTTGTAATGAGCAGTAACCAGGCATAGGAGGGTAGTTCTTATTCAACTCCCCAGAGATTTGTCCTTTGTGGTTTCCGTGAAGTCTCCTGACTAAGACTGCAGGCAGTGTTAAAATAGTAAAAAGCTGGGGCAGCACAACAACAGTGCTTGAAGAAAATTCAAAGTTGAGATGATGGCTCATCAGGTTCCCAGCGATCTCCTATGTCACAGTGGACACAACCTACCTAGGATTATTTTGGATCACCATCAATCTCTGCATACCTATGGTGTGGGACTTAACTTCAGGGCTCTTTGGTTTTGTTTATAAAACTGCTTGTGATAAGTAGAAAAATTAATAAAAAGGATCAGAATCAACCAAATCAACTAATTTTACTTGATAAGAATAGCTAAGAGGGAGCAAGGTATATGTTAAAGTGGTCATTCTTTGAACAATCTCCCTCCTAACAAGAACAGTATGAAACTGAAGGATAACTACATATACATAAAACACTCTGACATCAACATTTTAGTGCTCCTATGTCCCATATGAACCTTACAAGCCATACCATTTCTCTGTCAAAGCTGTTCGACTAAACAGAAGGATCAGCTGATGGAGAGGGTCAACTCTCTTAGTGCCTTCGTCTTCTTCTGCCGGAGCCACTCCCGGTTTCTACAAAAACAGTCAGAGATGTAGTTTACTTTCAAATCAAATGTCCATTCAAAACCAAGTGAAATACGCTGTTTAGGAACAAGGACTAGAATGAAAGTCCTTCTCACTATGTGGAGACATCAGTGAATCTGTGTGATATGCATATATATTATTTTACCAATGTAGAACTTCACAACTTAATCAAAATATTTATAATGTAATCAAAACCATAGGCAAATATGACTGCCTTCATTTAATAATTCTGAATGCTATTTTTATAATAAAGTCAAATCATAAATAGTTGAAAATGTATTTGCCACACAGGTTTTAGCTTTAGGGAGGGCTGCATTTATAAAGTTTTGCAGTAGATTATCACCTTGAATATAAAAATTTGCCTTACAGAGGAATGCGACTATGAAAAAAAAAAGAAACATTTTCTTTACCAACAAAAATAATGACAATTAATGAATGCTGAATGAGTTAATGCTTGAACTGTCTAAATATTAAATTTATTCCATTTTCATTAAAAAAACAACTAACATACCAACATGTAGGAAAGTTATCAGCCATTTTTACAGAATTAATCAATCTTGAATTTTTGTTGATTGATTCAATAAATTGCATATCTCTATTAACTTACTCATTTTGACTAATTGTCTCTATATGTGAAAGATTTCTTTCTTGGCCTAAGGCTTAATGTTCTGGGTTTGGGACAAATTGCTACAAATCATCTAAATATCCCATGGGTTGTTTTGACTCTAAAGACAAACTGAATTTATGTAAGAAAATATGAAAGCAATTAGATATCAGGCATTTCAAGAATTGGATTCATGTATTCATTATATTTCCTAATAATTTGTGAGTTAATCACTTTTACATTTAGTCAGAAAGAGAAATGCTGCAAGCTGGATGAACGTCGAAGACATTACGCCTAGTGAGATAATGAATGGTCAAATATGAATTTGTCACAAACGAGCAAACATCCTAAGATTCCACATATATGAATTATCCAGAATGGTCAGATGCATAGAGACCCAAGTTTATAACGGCTACTAGGGACAGGTTGGGGCGGCAGGAAAGGAGGACACATTGCTGAAGGGACACTAAGCTTTTGTTAAAGGTTATGAAAAAATTGGGACTACAATGAACATAATTAAAGTCACTAAACTGTACCCATGAAGACTGTTGAAATTTCAGGCAAATGTTTTGCAAGCTGCAAGATAATGCACTGCACTACAAGGCTGGTCTGAATCACAAGGTCGGCAATTCAAACTCACCAGCCGTTCCTCGGAAACACCATACAGGGTCGTTATGTATCAGAACCAACTCGACAGTACTTAATAACAGCAACATATTTATCACGTTACAAAAACAAATAACTTTCAGATGTCATTCTTAACTGTGGGATCATGAAGCCCCTGAGATAGTGTGTAAAGCTTGTGGGACTCAAAAGGGGAAATACTGTATGATTTCCCTGACATGAGTTTGAAATACATAGAACAGGAAATGCAGAGACACACACGTTTATCAGTGGTTGGGAAGGCTGGGAGTGGGTGCTAATGCAGAGTAACAGCTTAAGGGATTACTGGTTTTCTGTTTGGGATGCTAACATTTTTTGGCAATGATTGTATGACCTTGTCATTTTAATTAATGCCACTCAAAGGTACACTTGACGTCAGAACAATAAACTTTTTGTGATCTATATTTCACATACAAGGAATTATGAGACTGCATGCTTCTATATTTCTCTGAGAAGATGGTCCACACCTTTATCAGATTTTTTTAATGGGTTCACAATCACCTGGACATGTAACACTCTCGGAAACAATCCCCCTTACTAGTATGGCTGGACTAGTGGTCTAATGAGCACATTTTCTCTGTCCTAGGAGTTTTCAAAATCAGCAACTTTTCAATGGCTTTTGGTGACCTGTAGCTTATTTTTGGTCTCTTATAGTTGTAGAGTATTTGAACGTGCTTTAAGGAGAAGTTTAGGAGAACAACTGTGTCAAAGTTTAGTTTATAACACAGCTGAAGTTTTCATTTTCATTTCTGAACAAGTTGAAGAAAGTATTCTAAAATAAAAAGAGCAAAATTTCTCCTAAACATGTAATTAAAGTAATAACTTCTACTAAAAAATTCCTCATGTTGAAATGATTATTTTTCTTCAATGTCATATGAGAACATCCCACACCAATGTTATTCTTCCAAGACCCAACCCCCTTTCATCTTATAACCCCATTAAAAACATACTGCTAAATCTTCTATCAGTTTATCTTCAAAGTAATGTTCTTCTGTTTCAATCCAAGACTTTTCATATCCCTGAAGAAAGAGATTGACAGCTCGGTGCCTAGAAGATAAGCAGAATTTCAAACAAAGGGTTTTTCTGTTCAATTGAAAAGGTATTCAGAGGTGCTTAGCACTGGATGGTCTGTTTACTACACTTTCTATTTTTGATTGGGACAGCGACACATTGCGGTGGCTTGAACAAGCTCCTGGGGCCACATCAGCATGGCTTTAAATCCTGGCTCAGCCATTCCTAAGCTTTGCTGTAAAGAGCGAATTATTTCACTTCTCCAATTTTCATTTTTTTCTCATTTGACATCTACTAAAATTTCAGTTTTTGAGTCTTAAGATGAGATAAAAAATGAAAAGCCCATCGGACTGATGCTCTTGAATGGTAGCTCTTATAAAAAGAGTCCCTCTGATGAATACCGGGGCAAGAGCCAACCGAGGTATAATTCCGTGTTTGAGTTCACATTAGATGCAGACCCTGAGATTAACTGACGCAACACAGAGTACATAACCAATGATTAAATTCTAGGACACTGGAAATAAGAGGCCAATGAAATAAAAGAACAGTGATGGCTGGAAGAACCAGAGAAAACTCTCATGATGTTGATGCGAGATGAACAGTGACTATTCCAAGTGAGGTCAGGGTTTGATCCCACTGAAATGAGCCCAGCCTCTGAAACCTTACCCTGTTTCCTCTATAAAGACAATCAATCTAAGTAGTAGGGATCTTCACCTCGTCAATAATCTTCAGAGTAGAACACTAAGCACAAGGCAGAGCTGTGACTTATTGTTTGCTTGCTGTATTTGTTTGTTTGTTTTTTTCCGAGTCCCTCTCTCCATTTATTTATTCGTTCCTGGATGCCAGAGGGCTGGGCAGTAGTCTAGGTGCTGAGGATACACACCTGAATACAATTCTAAAGGGTCTCAATGTGGAATCAGGGGACAAGTAACCCAATACAGAAAGAAAGTGCTACCACTGAAGGTGTGTATAAGCATGTCATGGAAATAAGGAGGCAGATGTGTTGAAAGGGACAGGAGGGCATGACTCAGTCAGAGATGGTTCGTAAAGCAGTGTGGCTGAGCTGAGTCCTGTGTGTTAGCATGGGAATTATGCACTGGCATCAAGTAAACATCTTTCTGGTATTCTCTGCTTTTGACCAAAATCCATCTGGTATCAGCAACAATACCCTCTTTCCATATTCTCTTCTGAATGCAGCTTGGGTTTATGGAAGTTCCTTGTCAATGTACTGCTGCAACCGTTTTTGAATTAACTTCAGCAACATTTTACTTGCATATGATATTAATTAAATTTTTCAATGATTTCTACATTCTAAAGGTCATCTTTCTTTGGAATGGACACAAATATGGATCTTCCAAATTTCTTGGATAAGATCACCTCCAGGGGTGCATGAGTTTGTTGAAACAATTCAGTTCATATTTCAGAGTTCCTGCAGTCTTTTTTTTTTTTTTT